AAACGTACCGAAGAGATTGTCTCGCTTAGTATGGAAACCTTTTGTCACTTGTTTTCCCTTGAGCGATCCAACCAGCTGGCGGGAAAATTAATATAATTGTAAATGATGAAGACGGTAAGAATACCGACAAACGTGTTGGATAAGTGGCGAGACTTGATGCCACTTGATCCTGGTGGCTTGTATGTGTACTAAAAATTCATTAATCAAGAAAATTATTATTATTATTATTATTATTATTATTATTATTAATAATAATAATGATAATGATCTTGAGATGGTAATCTCAAAAATGTGACACATGAAAACATCAATAATTCCAGTTGTAGGTAGTGCCCTCGAATTGATTAGAAAAGCTCTTGATAGACTCATTGAAGGGATTCCTGGTAGTCTATGCCTTAAAGAAATACAAAAAATTGTACTCACAAGTACAGATCACACGTTACGAAGAGCTTCATTTAGGAAAAATGTGTGTGGTCTTAGGTTGATTTATTTTTTGTCATTTAATGTCATGAAGCCATTTCTAACCTTAGGTCTCTGCTTGGGACGAGGAATAAAATGTATATATAACAGAAATCAAAGAAAATAATAATAATAATAATAATAATAATAATGATAATGATGATGATGATAATGATAATAATAATAATAATATTTTTCTTATTGCATGGTACTTATCTGTTTGCATCTTGAAGTCTCTAGTTGAAATTTAGGATCAATTCGTACTATACAAAACAACTATCTAATAATAATAATAATAATAATAAATTTTTCGGTTATCGTGACATTTCTGGAATAATGTTTTCTCACTTAATAATAATAATAAGAAGAAGAAGAAGAAAAGAAGAAGAAGAAGAAGAAGAAGAAGAAGAAGAAGAAGAAGAAGAAGAAGAAGAAAAGTACTAATAATAATAGAAATTAAAATAACATGTCATTTGAATACGACCATTATTCAGGTTGTAGTAGAAATGTGACATCTGATTAAGCAGAAAACTTACACATATGATGAAAATCCCAAGAAATCCATTTCTGTGCGAAATACAAAAAAAAAAAAAATGTGATAATGGCTACTGATGACATTAGATGTGAGATCATGGTTAGTCAATCTAGTTCGGTTGACAAGATAGCGAGTTCGGTCCTCACCGGATGGCCCCTAAAGATCTTATATTAAATAACCTAACAAGAGCTGACAGGTAAAAGCAATCAACCTAACTTACCGTAGATGACCATTATGACTGAGTGATTAGTTCGAACCTCACTAGGTGCCTAAAAGGTTACAATATTAACCAACTAACGTTACGTACACATTCAATAATCTCCTAAATAAAAGTTGAAAGTCTTGACAAATGGGGTCTATCAAGCAACAAATAAAAAGGAAGGAATAATAAGAAGAACAACAACAATGACCAGGACCTCACATTGGAGCAGAGGAAACTGTAGAACATTATGCGCCTTCCTATAATACTCGGGCTCACTTTGGAGAAAAGAAACTGCATGGAATGTAATAAGAAAAGACGAAATCATTCTATGCGGACCATTTTTTTAAGGTCTCCGATAATACCGAAAAAAAGTACTGAAGAGTTGAGTATAGTTATTTTGAACATCTCCAGCTAAAGTCACCAGACAACTACTATGAACATTCAAATGCGAGAGAAATAATAATTATTATTATTATTGCGACCTGGGTATGATGATAGACTACATCCGGCAGCAAGGCCTCTGATCGGTATTGTGGAATCAACTTCTTAATTGCTGTTGTTCCGAGGTCCACCCTGACCCCGGGTGGCAGCACTTGTTAGGGTCCGAAATATTGGCAAAAGTTAACCCTAAACTATTGTTAAAACACTATGAAAGTATAAAAATACATTTTTATTGTAAAAATACCAGCAATACATTTTATTATAGTAAAAATATTCCTGTAATATATTTTTGTGAAAAAAAAAAAAATTAAAAAAATTACCAGCAATACAATATTGTGAAAGAAATTATTAATGCTCCCAAGAAAATTAAATTTCGGCATTAAATGACCCATAAGTAGTTGACATGCCGCTAAACAAAGAAACGAACAAATAATAATAATAATAATAATAATAATAATAATAATAATAATAATAATAATATCCGTTAAAGAAGATGACAAAAGAAGTAACTATAAGGATCATGAAACTGACAAAAGGTAGCACGTTAAAACTACTGTCATACCTATAATAATCGGAGCACTGGGTATAATCAACATAGGTACAGACAGGCACATTAACGAGACCCCTAGTAGCCCCTGTTTACAAGAGATTAAAAACATTGCTCAGTGTGAAACTGCTCATCTATTCAGGAGAGCATTATGGCGATTTTCTAAGCGTAGCATAGATATGGTACAAGGCCAAAAAGAAAGGGGAACAAAGTGAGGGTAGAACTGATGACTCACTGCTGATTATTTTAACGAGACAAGCTTGCTAAACATTACACCACGACGAGGTAACCAAGCGGTTTACTAAGCGTAGCTTAGTTGTTGCACAAGACCGAAAGTAGATCTAAGATCTTGGGTAATAACTCGGCAAGGGGGGTTGTAATAATTAGAAGGCAAAAAGGATGATAGAATACTCACTGTGGAAATATTTTTCGGCACTTTTCTTACTTTTGGGAGTAATAAGAAAGATCCATAGTAGTCCCGGTTTACAAGAGATTAAAAACATTGCCCAAAAAAGTGAACTTGCTCATCTATTTAGGAGAATATCATTGATAAAAAGAAAATACAACCAGTGTACATGTTCATTATAAGTGAAAATCGTAATTTGTGCAAACAGAATACATCAATTTACTACCTTGCCTTACTGTAGATCTTCTACTAAACACAAAGATAATAATAATAATAATAATAATAATAATAATAATAATAATAATAATAATAATAATAGCAACACCTTTGTAAACGGTTTGAGAAACTAATACGGGGAACTAGTGATAGTAATCACTAGATTGCAGCATCTCACGATGACAACGTTCTTCTTCTTCTTCTTCTTCTTCTTCTTCTTCTTCTTCTTCTTCTTCTTCTATGTGCCGTGTCCCGTCAGGATGTTGTAGATCATGGCTCTCCACTATTTCCTGTCCGTCGTAGCTCTTAATAAATTTTATTTTTTGTTGTCTTTTCTAAAAAAAACCCTGTTCTGTCATTCATTTACAAAAGCTCGCTAAGTTATTCGCTGATTTCCTGTGCAATAATAATAATAATAATAATAATAATAATAAAAAAATAATAATTAAAAAAATAATAATAATAATAAAAATAATAATAATAATAATAATAATAATAATAATAATAATCCATCTATAATTTACCTGTGTAAAATATGTGTGATTTTTTTATATGTTTTTTTTTTTCATTTTTAAATGCTCAGTGAAAATGTCATTTCCGACCTTAGGTCTCGCGGTTTGGACCCGGAAAGAAATGATTATACACTATAAATCAAAGATAATAATAATAATAATAATAATAATAATAATAATAATAATAATTTCATTTGCAGTTGGGACCCTCGAATTGATTGGAAAAGGTTCCGATAGAATTATTGAAGGGATTCCTGATAGCCAATGCCTTAAAGAAATACAAAAAAAAAATCTACTCACAAGTACAGTTGCCACGTTGCGAATAACGTTATCTCTGTAAAATGTATGTGGCCTTAGTTTATTTTATTCTGTTTTTTGTCTTTACAAAAACGATCAGTATAAAATGTTATGAAACCATTTCTGATCTTAGGGAGCCGGATGGAAATTAGTATACAACAGAAATCAAAGGAAATAATAATAATAATAATAATAATAATAATAATAATAATAATAATAATAATTACAATACACAGACAGAACTTTTACAATACACACAGACAGAACAATTAAAGCTAATCGACCAAGAATCGTGATTAGAGACCGCAAAAATAAAATGTGCTTCCTTATTGACATGGAAGTCCCTGCATATAGTATCTTTGAAGATCTTCAAAAAAACTATCAAAATACAAGGACCTTGGAATCGAAATCTCAAAAGTGTGGCACATGAGGACATCAACAATTGCAGTTGGAGTTGAAGCCCTCGGATTTATTGGAAAAGATTCCAATAGACTCATTGAAGTGATTCCTGGTAGCTCATGTCTTAAAGAAATACAAATATAGTACTCACAAGTACAGCCCACACCTTACGAAGAGCTTTATCTATGTAAAATATGTGTGATTTTTTTTCTTAAAAACTGCTCATTGGGAGATATTATGATGCCATCTCTGACCCTAGGTCTCTGGTCGGGACCCAGAAAGAAATGAGTATACACTAGAAATCAAAGGATAAAATAGTAATAATAATAATGATTTTATACCTTAGGGTCACTTTGTTATCGCACTCCCCTCCCTATTCTGTGACAATAATAAAAATATGAATTTATTCATGAGAACAATATCAATAGAAAGAAAATTTAGACACTGTACAGTTTAAGTGTCACTTATCATCGTAATTTGTGAGTGCAGAATGGATTTATTTACAACTTTGCCTAAGTCTTAATCTCGTCTAATCGTTAACACTTTGTAGTAAATAGAAAGTAAAAAAAAGATTATAGAATACTTACTCATTTGTCGGCACTTTTCTTACTGTTCGTAATAAATCCATGAAATATTTCCTCTTCCGATTTCACCCTTAAGTTCCGTAATTATTTTATTTTTAAACAAAGACAGGCAAAAATCACCGCCAAAAAGAAAAAAAAAAGAAAAAAAACTTTTCTTTACCGCTCATTGATAGGATTTCATTTTTATTTTATTTTTCCCATTTTTAAACGTCGTATTTTCAAAAGAGTTTCCACATGCCTTTCTCTCTTTTTCTTATTCGTCTTTTTTAATTTCTTTTTTCTTTTCTTCTTTTGTTAGAACGGGTGATTGGATCGAACTGCTTTCACTGCGGTGGAATATTTGAATAGTGCGAGATTGTTTTGGAGCGTAAACAAGACCGTGTTTCTGTTGCCACCTGACTAATGCGAGTCAACCTCGCACGAGCAGTTGGTGTTTTTGAGACAAGCCAACACAGGACGCACGCCTTACCATCAGAAAGCAGAACGGTGAAAGAAGGGGAAGAAGAGAAGCCGGCAGTGGGCGCACACAACGCAGAAAAGGCGGGCAGAACAGAAGTAGGGATAAACACATTTCACTCCCTTATCTTCCGTCTTATTCAACGTCTAATTTCATCTCTCTTCTACTTCTCCTATCTTTCATACGATTCTTTCCTCTTTTATATCCCCACTCCTTGCAATCTTTCTATGTTTCGCATCGTTCTTTCTTTCTTTTGTCTATCGATTCATTCTTTTTTCTTATTCTCGTTTTTCTTTCTTCATTCATTCTTTCATTCAAAAAAAAAAAATTCATTCATTCATTTTCCGCTAATTTGTGCATTTCTTTTACTCACTTGTTCCGTTTTTATCTCTCTTTCTTTCGTTTATTCTTTTTCTTTCATTTATTACATCATTCTCCTTTCCATTTTTCTTTCTTTTTACCCTCCTTCCTTCCTTTCTTCCTTCCTTCCATTGTCTATATATTCCCTAAGTCTCTCTTTTTTATTCCCTCAGTCTCTCTACTAAAGTTTCTGCCTTTCTTTTTTTCCCTTCCTTTCGTTTATTAGATCATTCTGTTTATTCTCCCTTCTCATTTTCTTTCTTTTTAATCTTATGCCTTACTTGCTTCTTACTTTTCTTCTTTCTCATTTTCTCTATATTTCTTATTCTCACGTCTCTTTACAACTGAATCCTACTAAAGTTACCGCTTTTCTGTCTTTCTTTCCTTTTTCTTTTTCTTTCTTTCTTTTTTCTTTCTTTCTTCTTTCTTTCTTTCTTTCTTTCTTTTTTCTTTACATTACTCTCGTTTCTTACTTTTTTTATTACTTTCTTTTGTTTTTTCATTCATTCTTTTTAACTTTCTTTCGTTTACACTTTCAATCTTTCTTTCTTTCTTTCTTTCTTTCTTTCTTTCTTTCTTTTACTCTCATTCAATATTTTTGTCTTTCTTTCGTTTATGTTTATACTTTTTATTCTTTTCTCATTTCTTTCTTTCTAATTTTCATTTTTTCATTCTTAATTTCTTTCTTTTTATCCCGTTTATCCTCTCATTCCTCCCTTTCTTTCTTTGTCACCAAAACATACTGTCACTCTATTCCAAACTCTCGCAATAACGCGTGTTTAGCAAGTAAAGTGACTCAGTTCTTCGCCGTGTGCCCAATTTCTTCATCCCAGATTAAAGTAAGCATTGTATATATGTTTTGTACTCAAATTTATTTTTATCCTAATTATTTTGGTACTCTAATTTTTTTTTTATAAAAACGATGTACAGGTTAATCAGTTTTACGTTTATCTCTTTTGAGTAAAATACAAAGATGGTGTAATATTTTCTCCTCTCTGTGTTTTCTCTCACTCTAATTATGATTGAGAATTTCCTTCTTTTTTTCTTTTCTTCTATATAATCTTCTTTCTCTCTACCCCTATTTGACTGTCTCTCTCTTTCCATCACTCCTCCTAATTTCTTTACATATCTCTCAGTTTCCTTTTTTTAATTCCCTTACCTATCTACCTTTCTTTCACTTCTTTTTCTTTTTATGTAATTTCTTTGCTAATATACTTTATTCTCTTTTTCGCTCTTAATGTCTAAAACTCAATACCTGTTGCTCTCTCTTCTTTCTTTTCTTAGTTTTCTTTCTTATTTCTCCCACCAATCTACCAGCTTTTTTTACTCTACACTGTTCTTAAAAATATATATATATATATATATATATATATATATATATATATATATATATATGAGCGCACACAGGCACTTGTGTGTGCGTGTGCGCGCGTCTCTCATGCTAATTTTGCTTCGACAACCTGGATTTTTCTGGCTTTTACTTACTTTCGTTATCCCTATGATTAATTCTATCATCGTCTGTTCATTATCTATCTATCTATCTATCTATCTATCTATCTATCTATCTATCACAAACTCAAGTCTGTTCAGATTATCTATCTATCTATCTCTCTATCTATCTCACTATATATATATATATATATATATATCTATATTTATATCTTTTGTCTATCACAAAGGGCGTCCTTGTCACAAAATCACAAACGCATCATATAACTATATAAGTTTTCAACTATCTCTATTCAAGTCTTTATCTATATTTTTGTCTATTTTCTCCATTTATCTTTTTATCTATCTATCTATCTATCTTATCTATCTATCTATCTTTTAATTTTCTCTCTTTCCCTTTTCCTTAATGTCTTGATCTATCTATTTCTCTATCTCTCTCTTTTTCTTACAATCTTTACTCATCTGTCTTTAAGATGTATTTCTCATTTTTTAAAATTTCTTTGCTGATTTTGCTCAGATCTTTTTATCATTATCGTTTTTGCCAGATCTATCCCTCTTTCTTTCTATCTTTTTTTATCTATCTATTATTTTCCTCTCCTTTGCTCAGATTCTTGTTCTTAATTCTTTTATCTATCTATCTATCTATCTATCTATCTTTCTATCAATATTTGCAAGATCTATCTATCAATAATCGGCTATTTTCCCACACCGTTTTGCTTAATGGCTATCTAAAATGGTCTATCAAATGTAACTCGAAGATAAGATAATGAAATAATCAATCTACTATCTATCTATCTATTCATCTAGTTTCTCTGTTCTATCTATCACTAACTATATATTTTGTAAGAAAACTTTTATCTATATTTTTGTCTATTTTCGATAAAATCTTTTATCTCAGGGTATTTAGTTAAACTTTTAATTTGCTGAAAAATTTTTAAATGTCTTGATCTCATCTTTATTCATTCAAACTTTACATCTGTAGTTAATGTATGCTCGGTTTTTTAAAATTTCTTTGAATTTTTCTTTTTTTTTTCATTACGAATATGTAACATTTTTCTACTGTTTTTACCTAATTATTTTCATCTTCTTGTTCTTAATTCTTTTTTTATGTACCTTTGTCTTCATTTTTCTTTTTTCTCCTGTTTTCTTTCAATAATTGTTTTTCCCATTTTCTTAATGGCTTTTACTAAATGGTTAGCAAATTAACTTTGATTAATGTTCAAGACAGTGACATTCAACTTGACCTCTCAAAAGGTTATATCCAAAACTCAATCAATACTTTTGCGATAAAAGCTATTAGAATTGAGAAACCTAATTTGCTGAAAAATTGTTTTAAAAGACTTTATTCATTCAAACGACAGTAGTTTCGATGCTCTCTTCATATCCAGCAATCTTTCACATTTAAACGGTGAATAGTAAGATTATTATTACAATCTCGTTCTCGTTTTTTTCTTTGTCTTCATTTATTTTTCCTGTTTTCTTTCTTTAATTGTTTATTCATTTACCGAATCATTTGTCATTATCTTGTTTGTGTTCAAATTTACTTAACTTGACCTCTCGTTATATACATCTCTCTTTCACATTTTCTTAACTTCTTTACCTCTCTTCATGTCCATCTCTCTTTCACATTTACTTAACTTCTTTACCTCTCTTCATATCCATCTCTCTTTCACATTTTCTTAACTTTTTACCTCTCTTCATGTCCATCTCTCTTTCACATTTACTTAACTTCTTTACCTCTCTTCATATCCATCTCTCTTTCACATTTACTTAACTTTTTACCTCTCTTCATATCCATCACTCTTTTCACATTTACTTAACTTCTTTACCTCTCTTCATGTCCATCTCTCTTTCACATTTACTTAACTTCTTTACCTCTCTTCATATCCATCTCTCTTTCACATTTTCTTAACTTCTTTACCTCTCTTCATGTCCATCTCTTTTCACATTTTTCTTAACTTCTTTACCTCTCTTCATATCCATCACTCTTTCACATTTACTTAACTTCTTTACCTCTCTTCATGTCCATCTCTCTTTCACATTTACTTAACTTCTTTACCTCTCTTCATATCCATCTCTCTTTCACATTTACTTAACTTCTTTACCTCTCTTCATATCCATCTCTCTTTCACATTTTCTTAACTTCTTTACCTCTCTTCATGTCCATCTCTCTTTCACATTTACTTAACTTCTTTACCTCTCTTCATATCCATCTCTCTTTCACATTTTCTTAACTTCTTTACCTCTCTTCATATCCATCTCTCTTTCACATTTTCTTAACTTCTTTACCTCTTTTCGTATCCATCTCTCTTTCTCTTTCTCTTCGTTTCTAGTCTCCCTCTATTTATCTCTTCTTTTTTACCAATATACGTACCTCTCTATCTATTCCCATGTCCAAACGCTCATAAAGCATAACCAAATTCCTCATAAAGTCCTTCTCACCTTTTTCCCCGATGCCTCCTTTTCACTTCTCCCCCTCCCCCACACACACATAATGAAACCCTGAAATTCCCCCCCACGCCTAGGAAAGAATTCCCCACTGTTTGAGAACCCCTGGTATAAAGCTAAACGTATAACGAGAGATAGTAGCTTAGTTAGGACAAAAACAGAAACTGTCGCACCATTTCTATTTTCCTTTCTTTTACTAAATTTCGCCCCAACAAAAGGACCCAAGAACCAATCAAGGTCGAAGATTACTAAATGCTGCGGTGGAAATGAACGTAAAAGGAAGTGAAGATTGCCAGCATATGGAGGATAGATAATGATTAACCCTAGACTTGAAGTGGTTAATATTGTCACGATCTGGGAAACATTCATATGGGAGTTTGCTCAAAAAAAACAAAAAAAAAAACAGCGGTTCTTTGAAAACAGCTTTCCCGTCCTGGGTATGACGATAAACTACATCCTCGTCCTGGGTATGACGATAAACTACATCCGCATCCTGGGTATGTTGATAAACTACATCCGCTTCCTGGGTAAGACGATAAACTACATCCGCCTCCTGGGTAAGACGATAAACTGCATCCGCCTCCTGGGTAAGACGATAAACTGCATCCGCATCCTGGGTAAGACGATAGACTACATCCACCTCCTGGGTAAGACGATAAACTAGGTCCAACAGCAACGCCTCTGATAAAGATGTTTTGAGGAGCGTGGAACCACCTCTTAATTGCTGGTGATCCCGGGTCCGCCCTGACCGGGGGTGGTAGCACCTGTTAGTGTCCCAGCTATGGGTAAATAGTTAACACCCAAACTGGGGTCAAAACACATTATGAAAGTGTAAAAATAAGTTTTAATACCAGAAATTCTTTGTAAAAATTTATTACCAGTAATAAACTTTTGAAGAATAAATTACCTGCAAAAAATTTTAGAAAAGAAAATATATTACCAGCAATACATTTTTGAGAAAAAAAAAAGATATTACTAGCAATACATTTTATTTTTAAATTCCCAGCGATACATTTTTGAAGGAAAAATAAACCAGAAATAGATTTTTGAAGGAAAAAAAAAATTATCAGAAGTAGATTTTTGACAAAACAAAAATAAAAAAAATTGTCGGCATTAAATATCCCATTGAGGTTGATATACCGTAAAGCAAAATAAACCAAAGCAGCTTTCTGAGTATATCATCCTTGTTACCAGAGGAATGCTTAACGCATAATTGTGATTCAACCCTATGGACATAGAAAAGTTGGGGTGGGGTTACCTGCATTAAAAAAAGTTTTTTTAATGCATAAACCTGGGCTTGAACACCAAATACCTATGCCACGGGAAAAGATAACTGATAAGCCTCATTTCACCGAGAATAAAGTCAAAGAGGATCATAAGAAATTATTTTGTGCCAACTTTTCCTATCAGAAAGGCCTTTCTACATAGGAAATCAGTATTTGCAATATTGGGTTTTACTTAGGATTGAACGCTGACCGCTAGCGATATATACACTAGCCTCACGGAAACCTGATTTTGTTTTTTTAAAAAAACAATAATTATGGGGTTATCGTGATCAATAAATGATCCTGACTTCGAAGGTCTTAAAGCCGTCGACAGTGGGCAGAGTCTCGACTAATGTTTATTTGAGAAGAACTTACAGAATAAATGATATTTTATGCGAGGATTTCGATAAAGTTCAACCAAAATTCGTGTCACGATTTTCTGTTACGTCCAGAAAAGAAATCCCTTGTTTGTTTACAAGATAATTTTTTTTTTGTTAATCAATTCAATTTAAGCAAGGCGATAGCGACACTAAGATGCAAGGGGCTACTGGGAGTAAAAGAAAAGGAAAATATTTTAGAAGTAACAGGAAAACTAATAATAGTATACATTTCAGAGTTTATCCGGAGGCCTAAAGAGTTGTAGAATTTAGAAGGAACCAGAAAGACAATCCGATTTGCAGAAACAAAGAATCCCTACAAAGCTACTGTTTGTAGCTTTGTAGGGATTCTTTGTTTCTATTGTTTCAACTTTTTTATTCTTTCGCGTTTTTTTATACGCTCTTTCGCACTCCCTTAAAAGTAGAACACAACCAAATAAATTTATAAAATGAAAAGAGACTTAGTTTTTTTTTTTGAAAAGTTTAATTTCATAAAATTAATTTAAAATAACAACAGTTGAACTTATGCAATTATTAATAATTTAATTTACAAACACTAACAAAAAATCTTTTTTTTCAAATGTGTTTCTGCTGTCAAAAGTTTCTAAAAGGAAAGTCAGAAAGAAGTATTATTTAAAATTAAAATCAACAAATTATGAAACAAATATTAAGAAAAAAGAGAAATCTATTCGTCGTTGT